TACATACATACATACATACATACATACATACATACATACATACATACATACATACATACATACATACATACATACATACATACATACATACATACATACATACATACATACATACATACATACATACATACATACATACATACATACATACATACATACATACATACATACATACATACATACATACATACATACATACATACATACATACATACATACATACATACATACATACATACATACATACATACATACATACATACATACATACATACATACATACATACATACATACATACATACATACATACATACATACATACATACATACATACATACATACATACATACAATACATACAATACATACAATACATACAATACATACAATACATACAATACATACAATACATACAATACATACAATACATACAATACATACAATACATACAATACATACAATACATACAATACATACAATACATACAATACATACAATACATACAATACATACAATACATACAATACATACAATACATACAATACATACAATACATACATACATACATACATACATACATACATACAATACAATTAATAAATAATAAATTCACTTATATAACAAGCAAGTAGAATATTATAACAACGTGGACCGGGACTCGGAAGTACGTTGCATTCAACAAGCTGAAGCTACCCTGGACATCCTTTCGTCGTGGCTTTGTGGACAGCAGTTACGGTCCATACGATGGTTCCAAGTCTCGCCCTCTAGTAGTAAGGTTGCCAATTACATCACAGCGACTCGTGTGGTCGGCCGGATTTGTAATGGTGGTGGCGGGTGTAAAAGGAGCGAACGTTACAAGTAAATATCTGCTACAGTCTCCCCCTCTGACGTCGAGATCGTCCCGATGAGGCGTCAGAAATGGTGGCAGATGAAACGGGTTTCCGGGGTCTCCCTCTTTTCTTAATTTCCCTTATCGGTTTGGGTGTAAGAGTAACATTTGGATCCTCGGATGCTTGGTAGGGAGTTAAATCACTAGTGTGATACACGCCCAATGGTATTGCGGTGTTGCAGGGTTCGGCGATTTCATAACTAGTGGGCCCATGCTTACGAAGGACAATATAGGGACCGTCTCGGCGAGGTGCCAATTTTGCTGAGTATCCTTTCGCCGCATTACTCAGAAAGTGGGATTTGATCCAGACCTTGTCCAGGGGAATAACTTGGCCCCGGGCGCCTACTTTCGTTGACATAGCTCTTATTTCGATCTTGCCTTGACTCTGTTAATTCTCGGGCTAAGCGTAGTGAATTTGCCAAGTCCTTTAGCCTGGGTGTAATCTCTGGGACAAAATTCTTGTTTTGTACAATCGTACTGAGGTCGTCAGTTACATCTTGGACGGTTCTCAGTTCTCAGGTTAAGTATGAGGAAGTACATCCCGTACTTTCACAGCGCGCCGTATTAATGGCAAATCGTATGGAACTTAGACGTTTAGACCAGGTGTGGTGCTCTCGGCCTACTAAAATTCCCAATTGTGTTTTGAGGTGGCGATTCTTTCATTCCACTGGGTTAGCTTCGGCGTGATAAACGGGAATAAACGCTTGTTTTATTCCCAAGCAGTATGTAGTTTCTGCATTACGGCGGACACAAACTGGGTGTCGTTATCGCTTATGAGTCTACGAGGCAACCCGTATCTAAGAAATATCTCGTCTATTAATAGTCTTGCACAAGTTTCGGCGGTGGCTTCCTCTAGTGCAAATAATTCAACCCAACGGCTGGTAGTGTCTTCAACAATGTAGATCCATTTTTTCCCATCTTCACTTACAGGTAGTGGCCCGAAAAGGTCAATGGCTATTACCTCAAATCGTTGATTACTTGGCGTCGTCTGTAAGAGTCCCGCTGGTTTTCTATTTGCAACCTTGTATCTTTGACAGTCTAGACAGCTGCCAATCTGCTTAGTGATATCTTGCCGCATTCCCAACCAAAAGTAACGTTTTGATATGCGGTGTAAGGTTCTATCTACGCCATAGTGTCCGGCGGTAGGTGCATCGTGGTAGGCTTGTAATATCGGGAGTCTCTCCACCTTAGGTACAACTAGCTTTGCATCATCATCCTCTTGATCCTGGGCGTACCTGTATAAAACTCCCATGTGCAGAAGATAATCTCGAGTATGCCACTTTCTGTTAGACTCGTCATTACCAGTATCTTCTAGTGCTTTAATGACTAGTTCTAATTCTGGATCATCCAGTTGTTTCTGTCGCATCTCTTTCTCGCTTTTCTTTGGAATGTCAAACTGGACGTTGCATAACTGACAATTTTCGTTGTGAGCTTGGCACGGAGGTCTCGATAAAAAATCAGCCACTACGTTCGTCTTGCCTGGAGCGTAACGAATTTGTAGGTCATAGGGTTGGAGCTGCAGTGCCCATCTTGCTAGGCGACCTGTGGGCGTCTTCAAACTCATTAACCACTTTAAAGGTTGGTGATCTGTTACCAAAATCGTCGCTGAACCTTCTATATACCCTCGAAATTTATTCATTGCATATACGAGCGCCAAGGCTTCGCGCTCTGTAGTGGTATAATTCTTTTTTTCAGGTGTTAGTAGTCGGATACTGTACTCGATAGGGTGCTCATCTTCCCCCTTCCCCTGGACCAAAATCGCTCCCAGAGCGTAGGCGCTGGCATCTGTTTTGATAGTAAAAGGGTGAGTAATATCAGCTTGCTTCAGTATTGGTGGCTTTATGAGACATACTTTAAGTGTAGTAAAGGCTTGCTGTTCCTCTGATCCCACTTCCATACTGCTTTTTTCTTAGTTAGATTGGCGAGTGGTCTCGCGATAAGGGCGAAATTTGGTACAAAACGTCTATACCATGAGTCTGAACGAAGGCTAATAGTTGCTTAATATTTATTGAAGCTGGTACAGATGTTATAGCCGACGTCTTCTCAGGGTCTACATGTATACCATCCGTTGTAATAAGGTGTCCAAGATATTTCACTCGAGCGCACCCAAAGTTATCAGACACCTTCAGTGGATTATCTGCAAAATACCAAGCTCTTTGGAGAAGGTTTAGTGTAATTGCAGCTTTTTCTAGGAAATCTATTCCTAAGAGAGTGCGCGATTGTCGTCCGCATCCGGGAGTATGACAAAATCTATTTGAAAGTTACGGCCTCCAATCTCAATCTGGGTTGTAGTAAATAAAACCTCTTTTGGTCTCAGTTGACCATCTGCAAGCGTAACGTCTACTAGTTGTGCCTTAAAATTGCAGGATTTTTGATCTCTTAAATATTCGTACAACGTGGCACCTGCTACTCTGGTTCTAGCCGCTGTGTCTATGTGCGCTAAGCCCTGGACACCACATATACTGACCGGTATTATGGGTACCTGCGTCGTGAACTGAGTGAGTGTATTAACAGAATAAAAATGGACTGTGTGCAGACACATCAGAATGTTGCTTTAGTGCAGGTAGTGTTTCTTTGGGTTGTGAATTTGACTCTTTGGCTAGGCGTTTTCTGCATTCATTGACAAAGTAACCACGAAAATGACAGAAACTGCATCGAACTGACTTCGATTTATCGGTTTTTTGTTTTACATGTCCGAGTTTGGATGCGACTGTTTCTTCGTACTGTATATTCTCTATTTTTCTAACTTCTTCCAATAGTTGGTCTAAGGTATTTATTTTTTCTCTAGGAACATGCTTGCGAATATGAACTGTCAGCAGGCCATAAATCATGCCGAGTTTCGTCTCTTCATCATGGCGGTTGGCTGGTAGTTGTGGCAGAAGGGCCCGTTTTTTACAAATGAAATCTTCAATCGGGATGTTCGGTTCTTGTCGTCAGCAAATATCTCTGTGTAAACTTGGAATGCCGATTTGGCAGGAGAGAATGCACTTCTTATCAATCGACTTGCATCTGCCCAGGTAGTTGCTTGGTTTTCCACTCCTCTCCACCACAGGGAAGCATTATCTGTTAACAAGAGCGGGAAACCCTTTAACGCGTCTCCGTCATTTATTTTTCAATCTCTTTATATATACTGACGCTTGTAATAAAAGTATCTACTGTGTCGTGGCATCTTATCCCATTAAACCTGGCGGTGCAGTTACTAAAACTTCCTGTACTGGAGGCTGTTGCAAACGAGTACTAGATATTGTGTCCAGAAGTACCTGGAACTGTACTGGGCTAAAAGAGACGGCCATCTTGTTTTGTTACCTCTCACTTCGTCGAGGAAGTTGTAACTGGGATGGTTTCTTTTGCTCAATGTTGGTAAACGTGGTTGTGTAGACGCTACCTAACAAAGCCCAATATAAAGCGAATGTTTTTTAGAAAAAGACTAAACAAAGCCAAATTGGCGTATGTCGCTTTTAAAATAAAGATTGACAAGTTAAAGCAAATGTGCGAATACCCTATTCGAACACTTTTAGTCTGACAAGACAAAACAAAGCTAATTTAGCGAATGTTCTATCGTAGTTCTGTGAAATTATACAACTATCAAACAGTGTGACTCGACAAAGCCCAAATAAAGCGAATGTCCTGTCCTGAATCGACAAGTCTATCTATATCCAATATCGAAGTTGTGTGAGTAAATCAAATCGACAAAACAAAGTCGTGAAATGACGAATGTTTTATCTAATTTAATCTTCCCGAAAGTACCCTAACTAGCAGGTTTTAATTTGCTTTACGTTGAGCGCCAATTTGTAGAACTAATTCTTTATTGAAAGAAATAATTACATACATACAATAATTAATAAATAATAAATTCACTTATATAACAAGCAAGTAGAATATAACAACGTGGACTGGGACTCAGAAGTACGTTGCAGTCAACAAGCTGAAGCTACCCTGGATAGCCTTTCGTCGTGGCTTTGTGGACAGCAGTTACGATCCATACGATGGCTCCAAGTCTCGCCCTCTAGTAGTAAGGTTGCCAATTACATCACAGCGACTCGTGTGGTCGGCCGGATTTGCAATGGTGGTGGCGGGTGTAAAAGGGGCGAACGTTACAAGTAAATATCTGCTACAAATCTTTATTCTGAGCTTCGTCTATATCAAAAGTTCTAAATTTCTTCTGTGCCTCTTCACCGGCGTCGTTTAACAAAATTGCAACTTTTGTTTCTTCATCTTTCTTGTCTAAGCCCATGGCTTTTAAGTATATGTTAAGACTACTAAGAAAAATTTCCAACCTTTGATTTATATCTTGATCAAATATTAAATTTTTGGGTGGTTTGAAAGTATCTCCATTTTTAGTTCTAGTTTTCTTCACTTTTATTTTAATTTATTATTTTATTTTATATTAGTTTAATCATTTACTGTTTATTATTAAGCACAATGACTTAAAACGTAAAATGTGATATTGAATTCACTAGTTAGTTTTTTCTGAGCATTCGGCCATTCGCCATTGCTCCATGCTCATGCCCAGAAACCGCCATGCGAGCAAAGGGGAGGAGGAAGCGCCATCTATGAAATGGTACTCAAATATTGATTAGTAGATTACTACTAATGAATGTTTCAGCAACTTGATACACTAGAACAGTGCAAAACTGACGTGTTGTCAAGTGCTACAATATTGGCACAATCTGCTTCTTTGACGAGCGGATAAAGTTCGCACAGCGCCCAGTCGCCGCGCCATCTGGATATTTTTAAAATGGCGCTAAATTTGAATTAATGTGCAACTTCCATCATTGATTTTTACTACATTATTCTTATATGTATGTATAAAATAAATGTTTATCACACGGAAATAATGTTTATTTACTAAAATATACATTATATGTATATTATTCAAAATACTGAATGTAATTTCAATAAATCTGATAAATTAACTGAATACTACCTCATCTTGATGACAGTTTTTCAATAGAATAAGAACCTATTTTATATTTATACACAAATATAAGTAAAAAAAGTTTGCAAAAAAATGTTGATTGAATAAAATTGATATGTAAATATAAAATCTGAATGTAAAAATGTACTTTTGAAAACAATTATTAAAATAAATAAACCTGAATTATACACATCTTTTTATTTCAAATAGGAAAATAGGAAATCATAATACAAAAGTATAACAAAAAATAAAAATACAATAAAAAATGATATAATGGTAAATATCTAAGAGTAAATAGCTAAAAAACAAACACATTGTATCTATGAGGTAACACATAGAAAAAACAATTCTTCTTAATTTTCTTGAGTAAGTGTATGTTTTAATAAGTGTGATCATGGCAGGGATCACTAGTAGTATAAACAATTTTTTCATTATTTAGACTTTTTTCAATAATTTCCCTTTCTTTTGAGCTGGCTTAACCCGCTTTTTTTGAGTAGAGAAAAATCTGCTGTTTTGTAATATTTGTATTATTTGGCTGCTGACAATTTTCTTTTGGTTCAAACTGGCTTATAATGTCAAGGTTACTTTGTAATAATGTTTCTGAATTTTCCAGATATCTATATACTTGACTCAAAATTTCAGTATTTGAGCAAGTATCAACACAACCCTGAATACTTTGTAGTTTAGATGTTATCTTAAGTTTTAGCTGCTCACTCACATCTAGATTTTTATTTTCAATACTTATATTGTCAGAATTTAAAGTCTGTAGGTGAAACGATACCTCTTCATGCTGTTTAATGACAGATATGTTGCGTCCAACACTCTCCACACCTCGGTAAAATTTCATTATCAAATAATATGTTTGCAAATTACATTCTTGTTTAAAAAATCAATGCAACTGCAAGTAAAACACTGAATACAAATATTGCAGTATGAGCATTTTAAATGACAACATAGATGTTCATCATTTTTTTTATGTAATAATTAATATTGTCTGAGGTTAAAATCCAAAACTTATCTTTTTCAACAATGTTAAAAACTGCAGAAAGAGCAGTTCGATGGCGTTTGTGTATGTCAGACAAACGTTTGGTGTTTTTACCTTTAGTGAGTTTAATAACTCTTTCTACAGTCTTGTCTCTTACTAATTTCATCAAAGCATGGATACCTTTATCTAAACGTTTTGTCTTTTTCCCTTGCAAATATATATATTTTAAAACTTTATGAAAACTCTCCAAATAATAATAATAATTGGTCTTTATTCATCATAGTTACACATTTACAATAACAAAAAAAAGAAGGAAAGTGATGAAAAGGCGAAGTTCAGCACAAGGCTGTTTTTCAACTTAACCTGCAACGCAAATAAATACATTCTATTTCATACACAAAATGAATATTGATGAAAACAGCTTAAATTATATATACAAAAATTATTTTTCAAGAGAGTAAACCTATTTCTTGACAGTTCATGTTTTCGTTTTATAATGCAGATTGATTAGCTAAAAGGTTTTCTTTGAGACGTTTCTTAAAATTAAGAATACTGTAGGATCTATATTCCGCCGTTATATCATTATATTTTTTACTAGCAACGTACGAGAATGATCTTTCGAATAATTTATTTATTTATTTATTTATTTATTTATTTATTTATTTATTTATTTATTTATTTATTTATTTATTTATTTATTTATTTATTTATTTATTTATTTATTTATTTATTTATTTATTTATTTATTTATTTATTTATTTATTTATTTATTTATTTATTTATTTATTTATTTATTTATTTATTTATTTATTTATTTATTTATTTATTTATTTATTTATTTATTTATTTATTTATTTCTTTGTTTATTTATTTATTTATTTATTTATTTATTTATTTATTTATTTATTTATTTATTTATTTATTTATTTATTTATTTATTTATTTATTTATTTATTTATTTATTTATTTATTTATTTATTTATTTATTTATTTATTTATTTATTTATTTATTTATTTATTTATTTATTTATTTATTTATTTATTTATTTATTTATTTATTTATTTATTTATTTATTTATTTATTTATTTATTTATTTATTTATTTGTTACACCACCCAACAGTAATCACCATTTACTGGGTGGGAAAGACAAGAAAACATTAAAATATAAATACAAATACAAAATTGTTAAAAAGCTATACAATACAATGTAAACATCCAGAAAAAAAACTGACCGAACACAGGATAAAAAGAAATGGTTGTCTACATTGCATTACATGCTGTATATCATTTTTTTTACATTTACAAAGAAAAAACATTTTTAATCATATGTTTTTTACATGCAAAAATGTCCAAGCTGTCTTGAATTTCATGATATTTCTGAATAGATTGGTACATTGGAGATGAGTTTAAAACATTAGTTCTAGAAGCAGGCATGTAGAAACTCAAGTAAACTCTTAATCCAGCACGGGGGATTTTTAGATTGACGTAATTTAACAAATCAATACTGTCGACTGAGCCATTTAAAAGATTATAAAGTAGGAGTACCTGTTGGAAATTTCTGCGTATCACGAGCTCTGAAAGATTGAATCTAGATATTAGTAAAGCGTGGGGATATCCCCTTGCAGGGTATATACCATCTAAAACATAGGAAGCCGATTTCATGAATTTTCTTTGAACTTTTTCGAGTAAATCAGTATAAATGTTATGCACGGGATTCCAAACAACAGAACAGTATTCAAGTTTTGCCCGCACAAAGCTAATATATAAAGTTTTTAAGGTGACTATGTCTCGGAATTCTTTACAGCTTCGAATAACAAACCCTAAGCTCTTGTTAGCAGCAGATAACATCGTTTCAATGTGTTTAACGAAAGATAGTTCAGGATCAAAATAAACTCCGAGATCTCTTATACATTCGGGTCGATTTAAAACAATGTTCTGTAGTTTGTAATCAAAAATTATAGGTGTTACTTTTTTAGTAAACGACATTACGGAACATTTCTCAGGATTTAGAGGGAGTGAATTATCGAGACACCACTTCGCAATGTCGGACAAACACTTTTGAAGTCGCAAGCAATGGTTAACAGAATTGATTTCAAGCAATAATTTTAGGTCGTCGGCATACATTAAAACTTTAATATGCTCGATATTAGCGACTATATCATTTATAAAAATTATAAATAAAAGAGGACCTAAAATTGATCCCTGTGGAACTCCTGATGTTTGTTCGAAATTTTTTGACCTATAACCACGACATTGAACATATTGATGCCTACCCAACAAATACGAACCAATCAATTGAATGATTTGATCGCATAAACCAATGGAACTTAACTTGTGGAGCAAGATGGAATGATCAATTTTGTCGAAGGCCTTGGAGAAATCTGTGTATATTACATCAACTTGACTTCTTCTATCCAAGGCTTCCGAAATGAATTGCGTCGAACATACAAGGTTTGTAACTGTAGATCTATTTTTCATGAATCCATGTTGATCACAAGATATAAGACGGGAAACATGATTGGAAATACGATCGTGAGTAATTATTTCGAATACTTTAGCAAAATTGCAAAGAATGCTTATGGGCCGATAATTACAAACATTATTTTTGCTACCTTTTTTATGTACCGGAGTAATTCAGGAAATTTTCCAGGCAGTAGGAAAAATACATGTTTTCAAAATTAAATCAAAAATATGTTTCAACGGAGTGGCCAAAATTAGTGCACAGTCTCTGACAAGAAACGAAGGAATAAGGTCAGTACCCATTGACATATTGGGCTTAAGCTTTTTTAGGGCTTTAATAACTTCATCTTGAGATACAGAATTAAAGTGAAGCAGAGGTAAACTAATGGTAGATTCATGGATGAAGTGATTTATTTGAGTTGGCTTGGAGAAATTGCTTGAAAAGTGATCTGCAAAAGCTTGAACAATTGCCTGTGGATCTTCTATACAGTCATTATTATATTCAACAGTAGTGGGTATGGAATAGGAAGAATTTTTAGAATTTATGAATGACCAAAATTGTTTTGGATCATTTTTAATAATGTGGTACTATGCATGGGTACTACTAATGTAGTTCTGTTTCTAGTGGGATAGTTATTAATATTGGAAAAAGAAGTTAATTTTGTGAAAAGGTATTCCGGTTTTCGTAATTTTAAAACTTTGTGAACTAATACCAGCAAGTGTAACGACCGATAGTTAGACAGTGTTATCCAACCTGACTCCTTCATTTTTTTTTCTCGCCGAATAGCTCCAGTTGTGTAATTTCTCAACTGGGTATAATAGTTCCAGCTACTCACAGTTTTTTCTTTTTTATATCTGCTTAATGCAGAATCTCTTAGGCTGATCATTTTTTTAATATTGTATGTGAGCCACGGGGCATGAGGTTTACTTACTCCTTTAGTAACTCTTGGAGCGTGGTCGCAGAAAATTTCATTAAGGGAATGGTTTAAAAATGTAATCATTTCATCGACATTATCAAGGGAAAAAATACTATTCCAGTTAATATTTAGCAAATCAAAATTAAAGTGATCTAAGTCAAATTTTGAAAAATCACGATATGTTATATATTTCATTTTATTGTGAATTTTGTATGAGTCAATATTACAAGAAACTGCGTGATGGTATGAGATCGCACGGTTTCGTATATCAAGTACCTTGACCGATGAAATCTCTTGAGTATCAGACACAAAGATGATGTCAATGAGTGTTTTACTATGTGGGGTAAAATGAGTTGGCTCATTAATTATTTTCTCCAGCCCGAAAGTGTTTAAAAAATTTATACATAATTCACAACTCCGATTTTGTGTAAGGAAATCTATGTTTATATCACCCGATACGAGCAAGAAATCACTCTCAGGAAGTAAATTTGCAACGGTGTCTTCCAATTCACTAATAAAATTACTAACTGATGAAGCGGGTGGGCGATAAACAACACCAAGAATGTAAGTTTTTCCACTACACTTGGTGGATATCCATATTTGCTCAAGATTAACTGTAATTTGAGAAAAAATTAGTTTATATTGAATGTTAGTATTTATGTAGAAAGCAACACCTCCACCCCTACCATCTCTATCTGCCCTAACCAGTCGATATGAATTGATAAATTTATTACTAGAATCCATTTCGGGATTTAACCATGTTTCGCTTATGCCGAAAATGTCAATTTTACTTATATTAGTATTTATTCCACTGCTTAGTCGAAAGCAATATGCCCATTTTCTTGTATTTGAAGAATAAGTGGTGGAAAAGTAATCACCAAACTCTTTCGTGTCTTTATCTTCTTGCATCAATTGTAAAGCATTTATAATTTTGTTTTCAAATTCTCTTGGGTCCAAAGTTTGTTGTACTGCCTAAAAATAACAAAATTATGTTATGATTTACCACTCCCTGTGTGTTAAAAAAGTTTTTTTATCTTACTTTTATAATTTTATATATCCAGCTTCTTTTGTTGACATCACGTATTTTATTTAAATTTTTTTGCCATGCTCGGTCGACGTGCCATGAACAAAACAAATGTGTTGTTAAACCCATAACTTTTACCCATGCATTAAAAAATGTGGCTGTGATATCAGTCATAAAAAATGTACATTGTATAGCACCAACTTTAGCTTTGAGAGCATCAAAAAAAAAATTCCATAATCATGGTGTCTTTCCTGTTGCTAATCATGCAAGCTACTGGAAACCCTTCTCTGAATTCATCAACAACTACAACAGTTGTTAGCTCAAAATCGTAGTTGTTAATGCCATGTGTGCTATCAACAGCAATAATGTTTGGTCCAAATTTTGTCAACATCATTTGCTGAGACTTGTTCATAATTATTATACAGAAATCTTCATATTTTAATAATGGGTGTAGAGTACTTTGTTTCTTGTAATAAATTACATCCTCTTGGGCCGAATTCACCCAAAGGTCAACACTTTTGGCGTCATCTACATGTCGAACTCCATCAGCAATATTAATGTTGAATGCATGTTTTATATTGTTGACATCTCGGCGAGTAATTAAATTTTTCCTTTCTAGATTCTCACCTAAAATAGAAATACAAATATGTTCAACATGCCTGTATATTGTGATAAAATGTTTCAAATTATTTTTACTTACTTGTTATATTATTTCGGTATGAATCCAAAAGTCTTGTAGCTGGCACTCCTGCTGCGAGTTTAACAGCAATATTATTTCTGTCTTCTATGGGCATACGTAGGTGTTCCAGTTGCAAATTATGGCCATAATGTGTTTTGAAAAAAACTACATTATGATTGTCAGTTTTAACACACTTTGTTATTAGCTGACTAGTACACGATATGTTGATTTTACAATTTCCTTGGGTTTTAATTGCCCTCTTTCTACTTGCTAATGAAAGTTTTTTACTTACACCACTTCTATTACAGTTGTAATATTTTTTCTCGTAAGAAACGTTGTCTATTTTTATAAATTTAGCTCCATGTGATTGAGTAAACTGTGCATTTTCCGTTTTAACCAAGTTGGAGAAAAAGGTTTTAAATTCGTTTTCGGAACTAAATGTTAGCTCTTCACGTAGCATCTCGAAATTATGTTTCATTTCTAAATGATTTCTCAAGTCATCCACAAATTTAAATGATATTTGACAACCTTCCAAACACTTGCTAATGAAAGAATCGTAGGAGTAAGCTAAAAATATCTTTTTCCTGGATTTTGTGCACTAAAAGTTTATGTCTATTCAGGTTTTGTTGCCTGTTAAATATTTTTTCACATATATCACACATGACCGCCATTTCTATTAAATAAAAATTTCAATATCGAAAAATTACAGTTAGAAATATCCAATTCGCTCGATAAAACACGTTAAAAATAACTTACAAAACGCAATGTCAAAAAGTAAGGTTAATTTTTCGAAACTGACATTGACATTATTAGTATCTAAATTTACTATAGGTGGCGCGAAGACTGGGCGGAGTGCGAACTTTATCCCCTCGTCTTCTTTGGGGTCATGTCTTAGAAAAAGCATTTTAAATATATTTTGAAATTGATAAACATAATTTCTTGATTTTGTCCTTCTTCTTGTCCTGTCCATGGTATATTAGCTAACATCTCTCTTTGATTATTTTCATACTTCATTTGCGCTAATTCTGCAAACATCTGTTCTCTACTCAGTGTTTACAATCTAAAACATTATATTCACTATAGTAGAACACTAGCGTCTACACATACCAATTTGCACTTTGGCTGCCTGACTTCCGCATGCGCAGTTACTGTTGTCATTTGTCATTGCGATTTAACAGATTTTGAATTTCAACCTAACCTCTAAAATATTTATTATTATTATTTACCGTTTTTATCATTATTTAGTTATCTTTATCTTATACAAATTAGGATACTAGTTGAAGTATATTGTTTTTTATCAATTGTAAAAAGGACAAAATTACAGGGTACATCGGACAGAATGAAGTTGTACTTATTAAAGAAACAAAATTTGAGTGGTAGTAATATTTATTATTATAGAACAATACAGTATGATTCAAAAAAAAAATTTTACATAATTCTAAGGATATAAAAGATTTTATGCAATTTTATTGGTTTCTTCCACGTCTGGTTTTAAAAATGCTTTATTTTTTTACATTGGATTTCTTTGTTTTTTATAGATGCCTCTGTGTTGTAATGTTTTTATTGTGTGGTATATTACTAGAACTTTGAGCTGAAGAACACAGTCTGATTTGCAATAACAGCAAGAGTTGGACGTGCAGGGGCCATTAATTTTTTAAATGCTTCCAATTGCTCATGTGATGTAATAGTGCCAACAATTTCATTTAATTCAGAAAGTATTTTCTGTTTTTTCAACTTAGGCGAACCTGGATCTTCCTTTTTCTTTCCATCAATTAAGGATTCAAGCAGTTTTTGTTCTTCATCATTTACATCATCATCGACCATTAATACATTATTTTCTAAAACCAATAAACTCAAATGAATAATGCAATCTTTTTATGTAGGTAGAAGTTTTAGAAATCAAATCGCTAACTTTTTCAATAAACTGGTAAGAATTGTCAAGACAAAGAAGTTTTTAAGCTATATACATGTTGTAAAGATACATTATTAAAGATTTAAAAGAAAATAATAAGCATCAAAGTACTTCATATATTTTTATGTAACCAAAACAAATTACAAAGATCCAAAACCAAAATAAAAAGCACAGGAAAACAATATAAAAATCATAAACACTACACCAAAACAAATACCACACCTACGTAAATTAAACATACCTTTATGACAGATCCTAGTGCTGTAATAAGATATAATTTCTTCATTTAAGTTGCACAATATAATATGAATAGTATAAGATGGTTTATTTAAATAAAAATATTACTAGGTACCAATTTACCTGATTCTTGAAATATAGAGACATCTACTTCATCTTTATCAAGCTGTTCATTTAAGAATCTGCAAATCAGATGAATTTTATACTTGATTACAGACATGTGCAAGCATAACAGTGCAGACTAATTGGCTTTTCTTTAACAGTGTAAATCTCAGTATCTCAGTTGTAATATGCCCATTCTTTAGTCTTATTGGAATAATATTCTTGGAAATATAAGCCAAATTCAAATGTATCACTATTAGCTAGTAAGGATGTAACAAAATTATTGCACATTGGAACAAAACAATATTTTTTATCTGTTTCCTGCAGTAATGTTCGCAGTTGTGTATACACTTCATCCTAAAGTGAAATCATACAGTTAGTAGTGGTTATATTGGTTAGTTTTTATTTTTATTTCAGAATGCTTGTTTCTATTATAAATAAATTTATTAAGTACCTGCTTCTCTTTGGATTTTAATTTGTTCAAATTTTTGCGCCAAGCCCGTATCACATGCCAAGAACAAAATAATCTACAACAGACATTAACATTTGTAAAAATAAAAAAAATGAATCTATAAACTACCTAAATTTTACATCACCCATTGTGTGTATCCATGCATTGTAAACTGATTGAGCCATATCAGACATACATATCTCGGACTGTAAATTTTTGCCTAACTTATGTTTTATACAGGAAAAGAAAATATTCATCCCATATTCATCAGTTCTATTTGAAATACAAAATGCACATGGAAACCTTTCTCGCATATCATCAGAATAAGTAATGTTATTAATTCAAAGTTATATGCATTAAGGCCATGCGTCCCATCTATACATATGCAGTCACTGCCATATTTTTCAAGCATTTCCGTTTGACCTTTGTTCATTATAATTAAAACAAAATCTTCCTTTTTCAATTCTAAATATTCTTCAGACTGTGTGGCCTGAGGTTTATAAAATAATACACAACCAGTGTTATTAACCTGTTCAATCCATGCTTCTACACTTAGAGCATCTTTTGCATGCCTAACGGACTCTTTATTTAAATTAAAGTACCGCTCAATATTGAATAAATCTTTTTTTGTAAGCAGATGAAATCTATTAAGTTGATCTCCATTGACAGATTCTCTTACTTCATCAAGAATGGCCTCAAAGGGAATTTTTAAGAAAATTTTTGCAGCCAAAAGCTTCTTTCTCAGTTTTACTCAAATTTAAACGTCCTAAATTATTATTATTATGACTAACATGTTGCGAGTCAAATTCTAGTTTACATTCTCCAGTCCTTAATATATTTACAGTTATTTTGGCAAAACAAAAGCCATTTATTTTATTACTGGTCCTATTTTTAAATTAAGTATAGGGGAGACGTGGGATAGATCACAGTTTTGCCTTTTAATTTTTTGTGACTGCTGTAAAATAACTGGAGTCATTCAGAGGAAGTCTATGCAACAGAATTTTCTTTAAAAGTATGTGGGCAAAGTGCTATAAAAATCAAAATTAGCAGAGATGGATTTCCAAAATTTTTAGAAATTTTGCTCAAGTATCTCTTATACAGGGATACTTGAGTAAGGATCAGGGATACTTGATCATTCGATTAAAAAGTGTCAATTAAAAGTCCAAAAATTCATTTTCATCAAAACTTTATTTGTAAAATGTAATCTTAACAGCTATAGAATGAAACTTAAACATAGAAACTGACAAGGACTAGACAAAACTTGTTTTTAATAACACAAAATTTAAATAAATCTTACATACTGAAAGAAGGTTAAAAAGCCTTGTAAAAACAAAAGCTTGTTCAAAATAATTTGAAACCAAGTTAAGGCGTGTTTCATGTAGGTAGCAAAAAAACAAATAAAAAAAAACATGGAATGTTCATCTCAAATCTTAGGCATATTCAAAAATATCTAATGCCATAGGAAACTTGTAATACATTCTTTCACCTTAAATAACAATTAGTGGGTCAGGCGTTATCCCCATTATGTCTTCAAAATTTACAAAGCTTATGTCTGTTTCTACCAATGTGAAATTTGTCAAAGTATTGTCCATAGGTTTCATGGATACTACTCTGTATTCACTTTGCTCTTCATTTACTTCATCGATAACACAGACATATCTGTAAAGATTACTTAGTTTTTTACCTACTTTGAAAGATGCAATGACAAATTTTACTTTCTTTAAATTTTCTTCATTTGGTGAAGAAAGGATCTGATATTCTTGAGGTATGTTTTCAGTCTCAGAATCTCCACTTTCTTCGTAGCAAATATCACTGTCATCCTCCTCACTTGATGTTTCCTCAAAAACTCTTCTTTTAACTTGCTTAACTTTTGGGTTACTGCTTCTTTTAAGTTTCTTCTTGCTGTTTTGAGCTTGTTTTTTTCTTCCCGTACTCTTAACTTTTCTTCAAGTTCGCTTTTGACTGGTGTGTCAGTGAGTATTGCAGATTTAACTTTCTTCCTTTTGACTTGTTAGACGCTTGCGGGCTCCTGCCTTAGGATATGGTAAAAAACGGAGGGACTAACTGCAAATGAAGATGAGCTTGATTGGAGATTTGAAACGGCATTTAATTTTGGGTCATTAGCTACAGCCTGTGGATTAAGTTCACTTAAGCATGAAGATGTGCTTGAAGATGTACTTTGTTAAGGATCTGACAGGATATAAAATTTTGGGTTATCACCTACCTTAGGCAAAACTAAAAATAATACTAAAATAAACCTCAATATCAAATTAGTATGCTGCACAATTAACAATTTTGAAAATACTAACCTTAAGCACTAAAACAAACTGCCGAAAACAAACTAGAAAAAATATTTCTTGCCGCCAAAATGAACGAACTTCAACTGTCAAAAAATGGCGGGACGTAAATGAACGCGGGCTGGTGTGATGTTGCCAAATCTACACAAACATTTAATTTCCAAGGAAAAAAATGAAGGATCATGTATCCCAGATGATATTCTATCCCACGCCTCCCCTACCCTTTCCTTCAGACTTAAAAACACCAGACCGATGGCATACATATTTTATTTTTTTATAATTTGCGTACTGTACGAACTGCGTTCATTAATAAACAAGCAATGAGTTTATCTTTCTATTTGAAGCTTCCAATTATAAAAATCCTCTTTTAGAGAAAACTTTAAAATATTTGAATTTATTGTTATGTTATGAGATGCTTCAAAATGACTCCGTATTTCTGATTCTGTCAAATGTTCATTATTGCATAAACAGCATTTATATTGTTGGTTCTTTGAATTACCAGTTTCTTCATGAATATTTTTATGTCTACAATTATTACTTTGAGAATTAATTTTGGTTTTCATTAATTCACCTTCCTTATCTACAAAAAAAGTACCATTATAAAATCTCTAGTTCATCATTAATTTACAAACAAAAATGATCAAACTCAGAAACATTCAAGATTTAAACTTACCAGGGTGAAATATTTTGACATGTTGCTCTAAATTGGAATGTTTAGAGAATGATTTGCCACAGGTGTTACAAATAGCAATAATTAAATACTTTTTATTTGGAACAATTTCATCTACCTTATCTAAAAGAAATGTTAAAACAATTTTTATAAAATATTATTTAACTATAAAATGCAAAAAAATAATACTTAAGTAAGTAAATATTAACAACTTACCTGCTTTTTCAAAACGAGTAAGTTCATTTATTGGAAAGTATCCAACAGGAGTTTTCCAAGAACCATTTATTTCTTCTTTCTATATCAAGAAAAGGGAACCTACAATAAAAAATAACAATAATAATAAACAAAGATGACATATCGAAATAAAGCCAATTTTTCAATAAGTAAGTCTCCTTTACTCTTGTATAGGTACATAATAAGGCAGATAAAGAAAAACTTAAACTTATTATTGGAAATAACCTCGGAAATCGTATTTGAGATATTTTCCATAGCTGGCGATGCCTCTTTAATGTATTGACTGTCTTTATCTACATTATTTCTTTTCCTTCCTAATTTTGCCTTTGGTGTTTGTGTAGTTGGTATATGAAATTTGAGGTTCTTGAATAGATTTACTACACGATGGAATTTCTACTCTATTGTAATTTTCATTACCAATTTCTGTCGCTTCTTCTATAAGCGTACCACTGTCAGATAATATATAAGTCCTTGTTAAATCATCAAGTATATCTTCTGACATATCCGACTCAGATATTTGGGAATTTTCATTGAATTCGAACGAGTCATGTTTTTTCTAGGTACAATATGATCCATTATAAAAACCGTGAACTCGTAATACCACAATGTTGGTTCATACACTTAAAACATTTTTTTTTAAATTTTATCTTTGCATGTTTATTTTTATATTGTTCATTTTTTACCGCATATAAACATGGATATTTTTGATATTGCTCAATCAGGAAAGCAACTTCACTTCTAGCCCACGACACAAACATACAAACTTTAACCCAAGATTATCCTTTTATTTTTCTTTTAAACAACAATTTTTAATACACGCTAATAACTGTGCCACACCCAACAAACGACAAACAATACAATAACCTAAAATTTTTGAATGTTAGATTCTGCAGAAAGGTAAATTACTGCGCATAAATTGGCGCATATTCAGTAGATGTCTACCAAAAAATTTTAGTAACTGTTTTTATGCATTACTTCAGTGCTCAATTTATCGTATGCAACCTTACTTTTTTCAGCACGAAAAAAAAATTTTTTTAGTTCTAAATACTATTCGTCCAGCTCAATAATGATAAAAACATTACACAACTATACCTGTCCACTAATCAGTACTGAATGCGATTTTGATGTTACACGCTTGACCATTGGTTTGAAAGCGGCCTACTCAATAGTTCTGCGCATAAGCGAAACCTTTAGAAATCAACTGATAGATGAGCCACCTGTCTGATATGAGACCGTACCATTTGTCCGAACTATGGCTATTGTCTACAGACTTTTACGGTACCTTCATTGCCTGACTTTTCCATTCAATGTGACTTTTTTAAACTTGTTTCCAAATATCAACATTTCTTTTTCTTGGATGTTATTCGGTTTTTTTTATGAAATCAAATCTTATCCCTTTCTGCATTATGGAAAATCCTACATCTTCCCCAATTATTTCTGACTAACTTTATCATATGACATGCACC